AAGTATTTTTAATTATCAGAATGCAGTCATAATATATTTAGTTTTTTCTTTTCCTTACACACGAGTTTCCGTCAAAATATTTTGCTTCGTCTTTTGCTTTTTTGCAGTTTAGATGCTAAAAATTTACCCGAGCAGTTTCAGAAATGTTTTAATACAGGTTATCCAGAGGCAAATCCTTCTTTCTGCCACAATTTTAGAATTTAGTGGAATATAATATGCGCTATTGATTAAAACGTGGGAAATTGCTTATTTGCTGACAAGCTACTCCATCATCCTAGAGTTAAATAAATACAAACAAGCATTAGCAATATAAAATTAATCAGGAAAAAAATAGCACAGAATTACATATTTGAATGTATCTTAATAGGACATAAATTAAAGGGGTCAAGATAACAAAAAGAGAAATAACAGAAACAAAAGAGCCTTGAGTTGATATCCGATTATTTTATGAACAGTGGAAAATGACGGGGCACTAACGTGACTGGCAACAACGAAGGGGGCGTGGCCTAAATTCAGCCGGGACAGGAAGGGTTTTTTTACGCTTCAAAGTGCTGCTTTCGCGGCTCGGTTATTCTGATTTCCTCTCAAAGCCTGCATGCTGGCGGTGAACATTTGATATACAAAAAACAAAAATAGATATGTTGGTACTAGTACACCAGCAGTGTTTATAATGAATGGGTCCATCACACGGACTTCCGATTTTGTCCGGTTCAGGTAAGACCATTGGATCAAATCATCAAAAGACAGCTAAGCAGTTTAAGCTAGCTTCCCTCCCTTGTAGACACAGGTAATTGAGATTACAGAATGTGAGTGATGTGTTATAAACCATGTGCAATGCGTGATCATTCATTAGTATTATGTTATAATCTAGGTCTGACGTTTTGGTGGCTTTATTTTTGTTTTAAGTTTAGCGTTTCATTGGGCAGGTCAGATTGAGAAATGTTCTAACTTGAATGTGCTTCACGTGAAATAATTTAAATTTAAATGTTGCAGAGCAAGTTTTGAGAAGAGTTAAGCTGTGCCTCAACCAACAGTTGCAGACGGTGTATTTCATGTGTAAATCCACACAAAGGCAAGGGTGTGGTGCTCAGATCAGCATAACATTACCTTACAGATGGATTACACTATGTTCATATTCACTGACGATTTTAAAGAGGAACGTGACTATTTTACACTGTTTTAATCAGGACAACTTGCATAACCGTACTTGGAAGGAGTGTGGCTGTTAAACTATTCATATTTAAACTTTTTGTCATTTTGTCTGTTTAAAGCAGTAAGTGTATTTTATTAAGACTTTATAACAACATAAAATAGTGCATAGGCTCTGCATTTTTCATCCACGGAATGCAGTGTAATTCTGTGACTTTGTATTTTCCACTACATGCACGGACATGCAGTCAGAAGCTAGTTCTTCCTGGGAACTCTGGTGCATATGTTGATGCTGTGTGTAAGAAGAAGAATGCACCATGATAGTCTTTTCTTTCTCTTCTAGAGTCTCTGGAGAGAGAGATTTACCTCTGGAATAATGCCAGAGCAGGATATCTGGATGCTGTTCAACCTTCGTTTTGTTTAGAGACAACGGGGAGCCATGGTTCTACGGGCGTCTCCTTTCCCCAGTGGGTTCGTTGCTGGCCTCCACGCCATAGGATGGGCGTTAATTGTGCCGTGCTTCTGGTATCTTGATCGCGTTATTGCTGTGTGCAAGTCCACCACAAAGGAGAAGAGGGAGCGACAGGAGGAAGAATGCTACCTCCACCCCCTCAAGGTCTTATGCGGCTCTATTTTCTTCTTCCTTTTCTTCCTCCTCACAGCCCCCTTTGCTTTCCTCGGATTTTTGCTCTGGGCGCCGCTTCAGGCCTGCCGCCGGCCGTTTTCCTACCACAGAGTGGAACCGACCTCAGCAGAGAGGGAGACAAACAGAGGCTTTGAGCAAACGGGAAAGGCGTCCTTTACCTTCGCCTCAGCCAATCTGTGTCTCTTACCAGACAGCCTGGCTCGCTTCAACAACCTGGGCCACACCCAGCGGAGGGCGTACGAGATCGGCAAGCGTATCGCGGAGAGCGTCGTGCGACCCAATGTGATAATCACGGTGGAATCTCCCAGCAGCTGCGGCCCTGTCAGCCCCTCGGACAGCATCATCCCCAGAGCGTGCTCAGACACAGACGGGGGCTTAGAGGGGCAGTCTCAACCCACAGGAGAACCAACCGAAAGTTCTGTGTCCTCTGATGACGCAGAGGAGCCGCTGACCGAGCCATCCTCTTCCCAACTGAACTATAATGAGAACTCCAACAAACAGGGGCAGCCTGGTCGCAAGAGTCCTGCTGCTTTGTTCTCCCAGCGTACTCGTCAGCAGGATGAGGAACCCTGGGAGGTGTCGCCCTTCTTCCCGGCCAATATCGATATACTGTGTCTGGAAGAGGTGTTTGATAAGAGAGCTGCTATGAAGCTCACCAATACACTTAAACCACTGTTTGGACACATACTGCATGACGTCGGCGTGTACGCCTGCCAGCCGCCGTGCAGATGTTCTGCCTTTAAGTTCTTCAACAGTGGTCTGTTCATGGCCAGTAGGTTCCCGGTGCTGGAGGCCCAGTACCACTGGTTTCCCAACAGCCGTGGGGAAGACGCTCTGGCTGCCAAGGGTCTGCTCGCCACTAAGGTGCTTCGTTAATCTGACAATAAGTTGTTTTTTATTTATGTGTTGAGGAATGTACTAGCATATCAGCTTCCTGAGCTAATCTACTAGAAGAGATTGAGTCACAAACATATGAAAAGATATCCTAAGTAGTTCATCATGCTGGTTCAACTAAATAAGCTTTGATTCTTGATTAAGGAAGATGCTTTAATAATCCAAACAGGTTATTAAATTAAATTAAACTAATCTGCTAATTCCATTTTGTTTTTAGTTTAAAGGCTATATAGCACAATTGAGAAAAGTGCTGAAGGCTTTTTAGCACTTGAGGTTTTTAATCCATCAGAGATCAGAGGAAAATGATCCCCACTTATGCATCTAAGCATGCGGGGATCTGTTTTTTATTAACCTTACAACAGGGTGATTTGTTCATACTTCAAAAATGCTGGGAAGACTTAGTTTGCATTTAATGAACAAAAAAAAGCAGATTTTTTTCAGCATTTTGTTGTCAAAATAAGATTTATCAGGTTATTAGTTTATATTTTTCTATTCAAGCTATATAAATGCCTTCAAATTAAAGGTTGGGTTGTCTTTTTAGAAGTTAAATTTGATATGATGCTCCTGCAAAACATGATGAATTTTTTTGAAGAAGGTACTCACTAATAGCAGAAGATGCCAATAAGTATGGGAGGGGGCTGAATTTGTTTTACCAGTAACCCTAAGATGAGATCAAACCCCATTATTTCAACATTTTCAGGTTCTAATCGGGCAGAACCAGAAACAGAAGAAAGTGGTTGGCTATTTCAACTGCACGCATCTTCATGCACCGGAGGGTGAGCACCAATTTCATATTTGGTCCGATCAGATAGGCTCACGTTCTTAAACTACGTTCCCCGTGTTGCCCACAGGTGAGGGGAAGATTCGCTGTGACCAGCTGGACATGGTCACCAGGTGGATCGGGGAATTCCAGGCCGCCCACAAACAGCCTGACGAGGAGGTGGTTTTTGATGTGCTGTGCGGGGATTTTAACTTTGACAACTGCTCACCTGGTTTGTCTTGTTCGCAGTTGTAGCTGGTGTTATGTTAAGGACATTTTAAAGCTCATTTTAGACCTGTTTGAATAAGCATGTAATCTGTCCTGTGTAGATGACGTTTTGGAACAGAACCACAGTTTGTTTGAGGAGTACAGAGATCCGTGCAGAGCAGAAGCTGGAAAAGAGAAGCCCTGGGTTATTGGTTGGTATTATTTACATCTTTAAAACTAGACTACATACAGCGCATTGCTAATGTATTCATACCCTTTTCTCTATTGCGTTTTTATCACTTCAGTCAGGAGGTTTGAATTGTAGTGTGTACACCAGATTTTTTACATTAGCTTTTGTTTTTTATGTGCGAATCATGTTGAAACTGCATCACGTCCCTTCCACCTGATGGTTTCGCACTTCTTCATGGTGCTTTGTCTCTAAAAAAAAAATCCCTGACAAATTGTGGTTAAACTCAAGGGATACGAGTCCTTTTTCAAAACACAATACTTGTATGTGGTAAATGTCGACAGTCCTGATTGGACAATCTTACGACTGTGTTTTGTTTTCCCTAACCAAAGGTACTCTGCTAGAGCAGCCTTCTTTGTATGAGGAGGATGTGAACTCCCCAGAAACGCTACAAAGGTTTTTTTTTTTTTTTTTCTAGTTTTCTTCTGTTTACTCCAGCAGAAATATGATGAGAGAAGCATTATTTAAATTTGGAGTATTCACTGTGGTGACATGACAAACTGTTTTTTTTTTCTTTGTGCCTCTGTAGGACTTTGGTATCAGAGGAGACGAGGAAGCAGTACATCTCTCCTCCTGTTCCTAAACAGGGTGTTCCTCTGGTTTACCCAGAACCTGGCCAGCCTTGGATTGGGCGTCGGATTGATTACATTCTCTACCGGGAAACCTCTATTTCAAAGCTCTGCAGAACAGTATGTTCACTGATGAGTTCTTTTCTTGCTGTGCTCTGTTCCCATTTAACCCATGTTCCTCCTCATTCTAGAAAATAGCCTAATATATTGAGAGTTCATCATATATTAACAAATTAAAGCAAAGCTAACATATTTTGGTTTGCTTTTACCCATGCAGGAACTGGAAGAGGTGACCTTCATATCTCAGCTGGCTGGGCTTACTGATCATATTCCTGTTGGCTTGAAATTGAAAGTCAGTATGAACGCTGACTACGAGGATGAATGAGAGCTAATTTTAAAGAGCGGGAGCCAAATGTACACAATTTTACACAGTTTTACTTTAAACTGTTTATTGACATACTTGAATTTGTAATTTTAGGAAAACTTTTAACCACTGGGTAAGTTTGTGACACAGGTGGAACTTAGTTTTTTTTTAAATATTTTTTTATGGTTTCACACTTCATATGCATTTTATACATTCGGAGCTGCTCAGAGTTGTTGCATTGATCTTTATAAAGCTATGTTTTCAATCAGCAGAAAAGAAAATTCTTCTTAAATAAATTAAGAGTAATTTCATTTTTCTATCCTGATATAAATGTGTCCTCTACTATGATGTCAAACATTTGACTATTAAACTCACTGATCACCGGTGCCATTGAGTTCATAAAGTTTGCATGCATGATCACAAATTTATTGCATCTCATAAGCAAACTGCTGGTTTGGGTTTGTGTATTTATAGGCTGATTTGGTTAAATCACTCAGAATAGATTAGTATGATCAGAATGATTAGGATGATTACTAAGAGATTAGATTATGTCAGATTGGTTTAGATTGTTTTTTTTTATTTAATAAATGATATAATTTAAATATGCTCCTTAGAGTCTTCTCCTGTTGTGTTCTTCTGCTGTTTAATGATTAGCATTATTTTATGCTATAAAACATTTACATTCGATTTAAAAAAAAAACATACGATATCTTCAAGGGAGCAGCATTTGCTCATGGGACTGTTCAAGAGAAATGCAATGTACTCAGTGTTAATTTTATACAGTTAAACCCCAAATTATTCATACTCCTTTTAGATATGATATTAATGTAAATAAAATCATCTAAATTACCTTTTTAAAATCGGTACTTCTTTTACTTTGTTTCATTATCATGTTTAATTTTCAATCACACAAACAACCTTATTGGTTAAATTTAAAAAGTATATAATCAAAAGCCGCCAGAAGATCTATGTGTATTTCTTACTTTAACTGTTAAGTCTCAACAAATCAATGAAAAAAAATGAAAATATTACTATTTATTTACAACAGATGACTAGTATGTCGTGATTCTAATTAAGTAATTGAACACGTTACTCTGAAAGTGCTCACTGTGTTAGGACTTGTTTCACTCAATCATAAGTCAAGATAAACCGTTTAAAGCTGGTTTATAATGTGAAATACGAGGCAGTATGTTTGAGAGTATTCGCCGACAGGTGGCGGTATTTCCTGTTATTTTATTCACAGCATAGAAAACAACGAAGAACTGTACAAACCAATCAGAATCCAAGGACAAGATCCACTTCCTGTTTTTACCGCTCGTGGGGCAACTTTAACAGAAAGCGACTGTTTTGCTCTGTAGCTTAAAAATCATGAATATTCTGTGTAAATCCAGGATATTGGTATCGTCAGTTTGTCGGAAAAGTAGTTTATTAGATCAATTGGCTGTTCCTGGATGCACGAGTTTGATATTCAAAGCCCGGTGCCACAGTCTTGCTGTTAATTTATCCTCATGTCAACAACGCTGGCGTTACGGAGCGTGTCCCAGGTGTCCCTTTGAGTCAAAAAGATGCTACACAGACAGAGGTGAGGGCAGACTCACAGAAAGACCGGAGAAATTAGAGTACGAAACCGAGGAGGAGGAAGATAACAGGCGTAACTCTAATTCCCAGAACCAGGGTAAGATATATCTAGCTGCTATAATAACTAAGCACGTTATTATAGCAAGCATGTTTTTGTTTTTTACTGTATAAATCTATAAATGTGATGAAATGATCACATAAAATTATGGGAACATGCTGTTTGTTGCTAGTCAAGCAACATTAGCCAGTTACTGTCATTTATTGGCGACTGACTAGTCCAGCACGGTTTTTTTTTTTTTATTATTATAATCTTATGTACTAAATATTTTTGTTAGAGGCTATTTATTTTTACTATTAAAGGTTACAAAAAGTATTTATTTTTCAACTTACTTTTTGAAATCGTACATAGGATGCTTTATAATAATAATTAACAGTCAAATTAATTCCTTATGAAAGTCAGACAGTCTTAAAAATCCTCAAATACTTAAAGATTTTCTTATTTTGTCCAGGATTTTCCGAGGTGTTCACTCTCGATGTTCTGACCTCTCTACTGCGTCAAGAAAATGCTGTGGACCTGTGTGTGATTAAAGTGCCGGATCATATTCAATATGCAGATTACTTGATTGTGGTCAGTGGTGTCTCACCAAGACATATCCGTGCCATGGCTCTTTATGCTATCAAAGTGGTAACTATTCTTGACTTGCTTTCTATTTGATATATTTATAAAAGCAGCCTACATTTGTTTTCAAAGTCAGTACTAAGACTTGCTCTCCTTCAGTTCAAGTTTATGAGGAAACACGGAGAGCCACATGCCAAGATTGAAGGCAAAGATGCAGAGGACTGGATGTGTGTTGACTTTGGTGTGTAAAACTCCTAAAGAAAATGGTTTTTCCCAACTGGTGTTGCTGTTTTAAAAATAGATTTTGTTTCTTTCTCAGGTAAAATGGTTGTTCACTTCATGTTGCCTGAGACCAGAGAAGAGTATGAACTGGAGAAACTGTGGACTTTGCGTACCTACGACGAGCAGCTGAAGAAAATCCCTGTAGAGACGCTGCCAGAAGACTTCATATTTGATGCCAATGAATTTACAAAATGACTGTATATTTAAACAGAGCCAGAAGTCAACTAATTCATTAAAAATTTGTATTAAAAAAATTTAACAAGATCATTCCTTCCTCTTTTTTTTTTTTTTTGCATCGCCCCTATGTCATACTGGTGAAGTTTATAAAACGACTGAGTTCTTGAATATCTGCAGCACAGTCCCCAATAACTTTGAAGATTTTAATTAAAAATTTAAATTTAATTTTACTTCCTTTATCATCTTGATAAGTGTCAGGTAACAAGATCAATATGAAACCTTGTTAGTTACTGACCCAGCTGGTTTAACTTTCTAAATAGTTGCCAAGTGTAGGTATGAGCAACTTTAGACCAGAAGCTATTGTCACTGCATCCTGACTTATTAAGATTCAGACAAATCTGTCTCTCCCGAATGAAGTGTTCTCATATCTTTCCCACTTTTAAGAGTGGATATGAGAATTGGGTCTAAACTGTACTTCGAAGCATGAGATAAAGGATCACTGGACAAAAGTATAACAATGTAGAGTTTTTATTGCATCTACTTGGATATGCAGAAATAATAATTTAACCTCAGAATTGATGGTTGTTTGCAAACATGATTCTAATTCAATCAGTCAATTAACCAATTGTTAATTGACAATTGTAAATAATAATTGATATTATTTACATATATCTTGTGGGAAATGCACATGAATATATAGTGAACAGGTAAAATTCACTATATATTTTACCTGAGGAAAAACAGTTTTTCAATGATCAGGAGGAAATAAAAGATTTAGACATAAAAATG